TACACACTATACATCTTTTTAATTCTATATAAATCTTTTACCGACATTATTGATTTTTAACTCGTCTTGTTTTTTGTTTTTTTACATTTTACTTTAATCTACTTTCATTGCTCTTACCGGTTGTTTGTCGCAGATAGCCTAGCTGCTTTGCGCCATAAAACACCAACCAACCAACCAACTACCCCAGTTCGGCTGTTGCCCTGGGTTCTGACTATGGGTCGTTCCACTCCTTGTTGATTTCTCTTGGTTGCACCATTTTGGCCAACTCAAATGTGGTTTCTTCTTCTTTGGTATCTGCAGGAATGTCTACCTCTACCTCTCCCATATTAGCAGTCTCTGTTGAGACAACCTCGATTAGACATTCTTCACCCAGATGTTTAGAAACTCAATCTTCATGCTTGGAAGGTGGTCCTTTGCCCGACATAAGGGTTTAACTTCTAAGGTGTTTCTGTATTTAACTAAATCTCTCCATAAGCCCACCATCGCCATTTATCAAAAGAAATGGAATATTTAAACCCTCTTCATCCCATTTTATGACTTGGTTATTTCAGAGGGGTCTTGTTTCATCTATGGTGACTTCATACAAGGTATCCTTATCCACTGTTTTTCGATATTCCAAATATAGGAAGGTTTTTGAATCCTCAATACTATCAGGTCTACTCAAGTCCTTTTGTATTCTTTTACCCAAATGACCTTTTCAATTACTGAATTGGGATTTTACAGTTGTTTACATGCATTTTCTTGCCCTTACCCTAACAAGGTGGCTTCATAACTTAATTCACGTGGCCTATAATGGATTATCGTTACAGGAAAGGAATATTTTGCACTTCAATTCTCACCAGATTTGTCATATCTCTATGTCATTAGCTGCCCGGTTGAATTGCCCTCTGGAAGACATTGTGTGGGCTGGTATGGGGACTACTCCTTAAACTTTCCTATCTCATTACTTATATGATCTGGCAGTTTCTTCTCCTAAAGGTTTTATACTACCCCATGTAGCTATTTTGACCACTTCTGTTAGGTTTTAACAAGAGGTGAGTATTTTACTGGATCCCACTCTGTGACGCGTGTTGCCCAGGCAGGTATACTTTCTCTTTTCAATTCCGACTAGCAACCAATTTCACTATAATTGCTACAGGTTGCAACAGGCTCTGTCAAAATGGGGTGTTCCATGAGTACATCTAGGAGCCTACTGGATGGTATTACTTTATTATTATGGACTGCCACTCATGGGCTATTATGACTAAAACTAAAGGTGATTCTACCCATCACTGCTCATCTTCAGGTTGAAAAAATCGGAGTTAGTTTGCTTTTTAAAATGTAGTGAACTTGGTTCACCTATTCCGCAGTTTCTAAAGCAGGACTCCCCAATGTGTATTACTCCCCCAAAGTTTATTAGTGGAGCTCGGGAGTTCTTACAACCTCCAGTTTCCTGGGTGGCAGACAGAGGCTTTTTCTCCAGAGTGTTTGCATGTGTTTCTCCACTCTTAGAGAAGAGGGCAAAGTTGAGGGATGTTTTTTCCCAGATGTTATTAGGAGTGTCACCAACTTCTATGGGAGCCTCATCATGATTCTGGTTCCAATTTGACACAAAGCTATCCAGTTGGGGGGTGCATGGCCCTTCTCAATCAATGTTGGTTTCATATATTGTTCATGGAAGGAGGTCCATTATCTCCTCATAATTCTGAATGCAAAGTGGTCCCATCCCTAGGTTCTTGGTTGAGCACAGGTTTCACCTCCTCTCCATAATTCCAGGGGCAAGCAAAATACTCCTTGCTCACTTGGTTGGGGAGTGAGGATGAATGTTCATAATTCCAGACCAGATGAATTCTGTTTTGTTGGTTGAGTATATCATACATGATCCCATCATTCCAAGCCTGGGGTGTTGCCTTTTGGACTTCTTCAAGTGGAAAAGAAAGTTTGTCCACTTTGGTGTTGCTTACATTCTTGTCCGTTGGTGGGAAATGCATCACTCTATGGCTACAGGTTGGGTAGGCAATGAAAAGTATATATATTATTGCATTACAATAGCCGTAGCCACCAACATGGGATATAGTTACCACGACCCATTAATTCCAACCCTGAGTTGTGGAACCTCGGGTATCTGATTGAGGCTGGCCTATACTGACGATTACTCATATTCTATTCCACCTTTGATATAGGAACTGAGTTCCAGGTGAAAAGCATACCTGTTCTTTTAATGTGGCTCCCCCACTCTTGTAACATCTTTATCTTAGTATACTCCTGTTCTATACAGATGCTTTCTGTATGGTTCATGCCTGCACCAGCCCCTCCACCTTCTCAATGTGGGATTCTAGCTATAGTGTCAATGGAGGTAAGTATGTTTTGGAAGTTAACATTTTCCTGAAAATGTATTTCCAATGATACTTACATCTGCTGACACTCTCCCACCCTACCTTCCCACTAAAAGCCGGTTTATGTCACGAGAAAGTGATTACATTATCTAAATAAGGTGCTTCTATACAGTACCTAGATAGAGGGTGCATTGAAGTTGATGGAAAATTTTGCAAATTAGAATTTGCCAAGGACATTTGAGTGGTGTATAAAAGACTGGAGCAGGTGTTTTCAATGCTTAGATGGGCAAAGAGGGGAAACTTTGAAGATCGAGAAATAGCTATAGTGCCAGTGGAGGTAAGTATTATAGGAAATACATTTTCATTTAGGAAAATGTTAACTTTCAGTACTCGCACATGTTCTATCATTATAATCTTCTGTGTGGTTGTGTGGTACATTCGAGTTACAATTTTTTGAATACGTTCATGATATGTATAAAAGTTTGTACAATCTATCATGGAGAATCTCTCATTAGGTCAGGCATGGTCTTGTGATTAGCATGCAAGACTGTGAATCTGAGGGTCCAAGGATCCCGCCCCATTGCCACAAAATCATAATTGACACTTTGAGACTACGTGTGCATTATAAGAATGATGATGAGATCCCACTATTCAATTAAAATATCCAAAGAGTTGACAGTTTTTGCTGTTGACTATCTGCTTTCTCTCTAGTCTATCTGTTAAAAATTAGGGATGCCTAGATTAGATAGCTTTTGTGTAGCTTTGCACAAATATCCAAAACAACTACAAACAAATTGGCATTTTATAACATGCTGACATCATTGAGAGACTTTAGTGACCAATGCTAATTTTAGAATTCTGTGTAATGCTTCATATTAAACTAATGATTACAGATTATAACAACTTTACTGGTTTCATGCTGCCATATTCAAACTTAACATCAACTAGTCAATAGAATGGTTAGTGAATGAACTTAATACTAAAATAAAACAAAATCTACTGAACTTGTCTTTTCACTTTTACGCATTTATGTGTATGCTAAAAAACTTAACATAAATTCCTTTGCCTATATTAAGCATTTATACATGTACCTTTATATAAAGTATATCACTGATAAATTTATATAAAGTAATAGATTTTGTCAGTGAACATACTTAAATGTGCACATTTTTATTTTGCTGTGAAATACATATTTGTGTAATACTAGTACAGTCAGTATTTTTGATAATATTTTCTAGAGATGCATACAAATTAAATTTTCACTTTTTTTCATAAACTTCAGTGCACATAATGTAGTGACTTTACTTAAACAGTTCCTCCTGACTTGAGTGCAACTACATCAACCAGTGTGAAGACTTGGAATGACAATCCTGTTAATTTGACCTGCCTTGCAGATGCTGTCCCAAATGCAACAATTAGTTGGTGGTTTAGAAATAATGAGATTAAAAAGGAGAATCCTTCTATATTCTACACCATTTTGGGTACTGTGGGTTTGAGTAACCTCTTGGTAATGTTCTTTTTTTTCATTATTCATACTACTACCTTTCTTTGAAAGTTGCAAGTAATCAGTGTCTTAGGTTTATGTTGAAAAGCTTAAGAACAGCCCTTTTATCTAATTTTAATAATTAAGCTTAAATGTATTGTACAATTATAAAATTTAGCTATTGTTTGGAAACTGCTGCTTAGAACAATTACATGTTTTCATACATATGCTATTAATCCTTACCCTAATTTTTATTTCTAAATAACTTAACTATGATTGATAAAAACAACACTTCATTAACTTAATCTCCTTTAAAACATAACAGTTGTTTGTGCAATTTGATAATATAAATAGGGCTTCAACCACCACTGTCTGTCATGTCCCAGCCAGCCTGATAGGTCTTGATATTTGGCAAAAGGCCTTGTCAGCACTGGACATAGAAGATGTAGTGTGACTGACATATGTTATACATTCTTCTTTACATTAACTCATAACTTTTAGAATATATGATCCATAAGTGAAGATTTTTATTTATGATAACCTGCTTTATTGCTATTGCTTTCATTTATTTGAAGACTACAGTTTTCTGTTCTTGCTTAAAACATAAAACTGAAAAGATTTGTCTTTTGCTTTTCATAAACCACATTTTGCGATATAATTTTTCTAGCAGTAAAACATTTCAAGTGAGCAACTGATTTAAAGTTTAGTTGTTCCTTCTTTTAGTGAATGTAGATTATGCAGTTAACTCTATTTTTTCTGTAACTTATCACTCACTGATTACAAACACTGGATAATATATAGTGGCCTTCTATTTGTGCTTAGGTATTTACCTTGTGTTTAATTATGTCTGATTATTGACATGTGAACCCACTCGAAACATAATGTAGATGTGGAGTTATTTTTGTGGCTAAAGAATATTCAGTCTGTGTAAGAGTAAGTTGTATGCTTTTTGTTATTAAGCCTGTAGCTTAAGCCTTTTCTTTATTTTATATACTTTTGAAGCAACCAAAGGCTGCAAAGTCTTCAAACAATAGCTCACATGTACTTTTTTATGACAAGCCTAAACCTAAGTTATGTCATCAAGTGCAGTTGTAGTATACAGTATGGCATGTTAAGATAGTTCATTAAATATACATCAGAAATAATGTTTGAAGTGTTTAGACTGATAAGTTAGGACAAAAACTGAAAGTTTAAGGTTATGCTGAAGTAACTATTTTATGTTAAACCATTTAGTCAAGTAATAATATGATAATTCACATACCTGATCTATAAAAATCATTTCAGGTTAAACCATCATTAAGTACACCAGGGGGTCGAGATGTGTACGGATTGTATATTTGTAAAGCCACAAACAAGTATGGTGAGGATCACATTGATATAGAATTAAAAGAAGCTTGTAAGTACATATATTTTCTATGAATGGTTTATGTTATTCAGCTTCTTTAGATGTAGTTTTAGTTGTTAAAAAGTGACTTACCAGCAAATGCTAGAGGGTTACCATTTCATTTAATTGGTATAGCATTCTCTTGATGTGTGATAGATTTTGGATTCAAATCTGAGGCAAGGAAATATGTAGATTTTGTAAAAAAATAAAATTACCACATTGGCATCCAATATGTGGCCATGTCATGGCCCTGAAATGAGGTTTTAGGATGGACCTTGTTTGTGAGAGGAGAAGAATGTAGTAGTTTAAATTGATAAAAAGTAACTTACTAGCAAGTACTAGGGGTTAATCTTTTAGAATCTGTAGTGCTTACTACAGGGATTTACACATTTTAGAAATAAAGTTGGAAAAAATTACCTTTACACTCCAGGTAATTACAAGAGGAATTTTTTTTAAATTAATGTTTCATCTTTGAGGCTTCTTTATTGTAATATCGAACAGGTTTATGTACTAGCCCTGAAGAAGTTGCAAAGGTGAAATTTTGGTTGAAGAAAAGTTATCTTCTAATCATCTTGAGTTGTTTTTTATAACTTTATTATCAAAATGGTTAACCTTTTAGCTTAGATGGCAGAGAACTTGCCTGATGTGTGACAAGTCTTGGGTTTAAATATGAAATGAGGAAATATATAGATATTATTGAAAAATTACCATGGTATCAAAGTAACTGGATTATTTCTGTTTAATGTAGCATTGGGTTTCTAAGATCAATGTTGTAGTGCTAGAATGTAGAAAAAGTTTTAATTTTCTTCATTTTATTGCTTATTGTGTCACAAACCAAAGAATGATTATAAATAAATTACAAGCTTTGAAAATTTAATATGAAACATGTGTTACTATTTTTTTTATATGGAATACTTTTGTTTTAACCCTCTTGCTAGAAAAATTGTGATAGTCATAGAACATATTCTGCTTTTTGCATTTTATTGTTCTGTGTTTTTTGGTACATTATTTAACTCTCTCACTATGAACTCGGTCCCTGGGACTGACCTTGTAATGATTTTGTGCTGGTTATAGTTTTCAAACTATAATTTGTAATACAGGAAGCATATCTTCATGAAATTTGCAGATTATTAGTAAACAATACAAGGCTTTAGTACAAAAAATATCAGATTTTTTTTATTAGTGTATAGTATTTTTAAATAATGATTTGCTTGTGCATTTTTTGTTTTCAAATATTGAATATCCAACATGCAAAGTAAATTTGATTTTTAAGGTAAAAAATACTTTTATGCATTAATAAATTGTCAGATTTTGCATGCAAAATCTTTATAACATCCTAATAACTTCCATATAATTATCAAACGTTTTTTTTTAGAAAAAACTTTATATTTTATTTGTTATTTTCACTATTGTATCTCTGTACAGGTTTGGTTGATTTGATCGACTTCTTAACCAACATAAAAAGTTAGGAAATATATTTAAATTATGCTTTTTTTTATATTAGTATGACTACAAATTATTTCATATTCTAGTTTGTCAGTATCAGTAATTTCAATTTTTAATTCATTAGAAACTGTAGACTGTATTTGGACATCACAAACATTTAATTTGAACCAAAGCTGCATTCATCACAAAAATTAATAAAATAAATAAATTAATAAAATTACTAATATATAATACTGTAATTTTAATTTTAATCTACAATTTGATATCAAACTTATTGCCATACATTCATAAAATAATAGCTCAATAAAATTTTGAATGCAAGTCTACAAACGTGATGACGCCCTTTCACTCCTGACCATAGGAAGACCCATAGCAAGTGGGTTAGTTAAACAAAAAATTATTTAGTGCAATACTACCATTACTATAAAAAAAGTAGGGCTAAATATCATCATCGACAATTGAAAGCAAAGAAAAGAAGACCCAGGTAAGTACTTTTTTCTTGTATTTCATGTGTATTCTTTATTCCTTATTATTATAAAAATAAGTAAAATATAAAAATAGGGAACTTTTTATGTTAGTTGAGGTTAGATTAGGTGAAATAGATAATAATATATTAAAAAGATTTTGCGAGGTTTGTTTGCGAGTAGCTCATGTGTAATATAATTCAATTACGTAATGTGAGCTGCATGTTTGCTGAGTGATTTACAATGTAAAAAAATATAATAAAACAAAATTTAAGTATAAATAGATGCATATTGTAATGAGTTTAAAACTATTTAGGATAAGCAGGTGGAGTTTCATATTACAATTTGTAGTTATTCTGGCAAAAAAAAATGTTAATTTAGAATTATTTCGATTTTTTTTTATTGTGTTTATGAGGTCAGTCAATTTGGCTAACCTTGTATATATTTAGGGTAAAGAAAATAACAGATAAGATATAAGGTTTTACTAAAAAAAAGTTTGAAATTTATTTAGGTTATTTTATAGATAATACAAATAAAATTTGAGATTTTTGATATGAAGAAAGTATTTTTAAACTTAACTTGAAAATCACTTAGCACTCGGACTAGTATATAGAAATTATATCTATGTTCACAGACAAATCTTTAGTAAAAACACTTCATTAAAAATATGATTTTTTGTGTAAAAAAGGCTTGTGGTGTTTACTAAAAGTCTGTCAAATTTTGTGAAGATAAACCAAGTATATTAAAAGTTATAATAAGAAAACTATAACGAATACAAAAGTGAATACGAAATCAGTCAATTCAACCAACTTCATTCTGAAAGAATTAAAGGAAATGAAACAAACTTTATATTCCAATAAATCAAGACTCGTGGCAGGCATAACATATTTTATTTTATTTGTAGTTTTAATGAAAGCAATTGCATTAGTTAACATTTATTAATCCTTTCAAAATTAGGGGATCATTGATATTTTGTGAAGAAACTTGCTAAATTGTATCTAGGTTTGGCCTAAAAAGCTCATATACTTTACTTTAATATCTTTTTTTTAGAAAAAAGCTTTAAAATTACATTACTTCATCTTAAAACTGAAATTTTGTATTGTTCATTAGAAAGTTCCATTTTAAATATCTAATAAATTTCAATCCGATTGATTTTCATTAGCATATTTATTTTGAAATATTATATTTCCATTTGTAGTAGTCACAACTTCTAACTATAAATTGTTATAAACACTGCTTAAACTAACAAGCCCCAGTGGCATAGTGGTATGTTTACAGACTTACAACACTAGAAACAAGGTTTTGATACCCGTGGTGGGCAGAGCACAGATAGATAGCCCATTGTGTAGCTTTGTGCTTAAGTTCTAACAAAACAGTAAACTAACAAATATTTAGGGGTGACTTAAGACCTAACCTTTCAAAATTATGTCAGATCAGGGTAGGTAACAATATTTTTTGGTCAATATCAGTTTGTATCTAATTAATATACTTTGTTTCAAATACATTATTAGTTATTTTATTATGTGCATTGTTTGAATACAATTAATTTAGCACTAATATTCAATGAATAAGGATTTTAGTCACAAGATTGTTTTGCTGTTGCTTAATGTAATGAGGCTTACATTATGTCTTTTCATAAAAGAAAATTGACATGATTTTCAAATAAATATTCTTTAACACAGAAATTCTGCTGTTCCCAACAGGAACCTGTAGCAATTTTCAAAGCTGTTCATCATATGTATTAGTTCCCATCATTTTATGACCGTACAGCATGTTGTGTGAATGGAGGCCTATAATAATAATAATTAGTTAGACAAAGGAGAAAGAATAATCAAAAGAAAAACTTGAGTTGGTTAATTGCATATAAAAGGAAACACAGTTTCTCAGGAAATAAACTTCAGAGCTTTGAGTTGTTTAGAAAAATTCTAAAAAATTTATAAGTGCATTGTTTATGGGCAAGACTCCTGATAGCTGTGCAGAAATGCAAATGTGTACAGTTTTAATATTTTCATATTAAATATAGTGCATATTACACTAAATAAATGTTACACAATGACAAAATATCAGTTTTAAAATATTTTTTGAGTAAATAATTGTTCGAAATAGAATTACTATTTTTATTCAAATGTTGAAATATGATATGCACTTGGAAGTGATTACTGTCCAGAAAGGGATAAACTTCACACTGTACTAAAAGTAATAAATTTAAGCACGTTATATGTAGAACATCACACAGCAAAGAAAACGGATCTTGTATTATGAAATAATGTTTTAAAAAAGGCTGTTCGTGATATTCATTTCATGCAGTATACTCTTACTGTGAGACAGGTGAAATGAAACTTAAAAGAAAAAAAAATATGTGGTATAAATACAAAAAAGCAGACATATAGATGACACTTCTATTTTATGTATTATTTATTCTAAATATCACTATCAACCATTCCAGCTGTTAGTGTTCTAAGTGCTAAACCAATACCATAAATTTTCCTAATTGTTATGACTTTGTAGATTTTTTGTGTGCTGCTGTATAGAATTATTATATAACTTCAATTTATAGCTTGGAACAAAATGAATGCAAATCACTTTTACATTTGAATTGTGCATCCAACGTCTGGTAAGATGTCACTGCCATCCTATTTACTGGCTGGTTTCAGTTTCAACTATATTAATTTGGAGGTTGCTGTTATCACTGTAGCTAATCTCCTGAACAAATGACCTGCCATTGAAGTTTTTGTAGCATCTTTTTCATTATCATTTGGGTCAGTATTATTAAATACATTGCTCTGGCTATCTTCTGACTATCAGCCCCATTTCACTTTTAATCTTAGATCCATCCGTTGGTCCAATGAATTTCATAAGTTGACAAATTGAACAAATTCAGTCCAACCAGAACCATACATGTACCACAAAGCCAAATTTCTCTAATTTCAAACTGGTATCCCTTCACTATTTAGACATTTGGGCATGTTAACCCTTTGTTAATCTGCAACTTCTTGATATCAACTAATGCAAAGCTCCTCATATTTCTGTAGCACATTAGCAATGGGGTGTAGATCATATATCACTTTTTTTGGGGGGGGGGGGTATATTTCATATTCCAGG